CGGCCCCCGAGGCAGCGTGGGCGAGGCAATCCTTGGTGGAAGAGATTTGCAGGGCGGCTACTTGGTCGTCGCCCTCGCCATTTATTAGACACTACAAGGTCGTTCTCCTGGGTGCTGCTCTGGGAATCCAATCATGGGACATGCCAAAGCAATTAAGTCCCAGGGCGGGAGCTAGGCTGGTCAGGATCCTCCGCAGAAGAAAGAACCCTTTGCAACACTCTCCGCCCAAAGGAGGCCTCAGCCGAGGCGTATACATCAACCTTGTAGTGTCTAATAAATGGCGAGGGCGACGACCAAGTAGCCGCCCTGCAAATCTCTTCCACCAAGGCTTGCATAGCCCAGGCTGCCGTGGTGGCCGCACTCCTGGTAGAATGAGGAGTAATACGCCTGGGAACCGGTCGGGAGTGACTGTCGTACGCCAACGCGATGCACGCCTTCAACCATCGGCCGATGGTGTGGGAGGACACCTTTTGTCCCATGGACGACAGCTGGAATGAAAGAAACAGCACCTCTGATCTTCTGAACGAAGCCATGCGCTTCACATAATGTCGGAGAGTTCTACGAACATCCAAATGATGCCACTGGTGCTCCTGACGATGGGAAGGATGCGGGCAAAAGTCTGGAAGGACAAGCTCCTGAGCTCTGTGGAACATGTTGTCCTTCGGGAGGAAGGAAGTGTCCAAACAGAGCACTACTCTGTTAGGATGAAATATGCAGAAGTCCGCACGAACAGACAAGGCAGAACATGCCTTGGCCCGTGAGTGCTGGGACAAGGAGCGGCCCTGACCGCCTCCAACCACCGTGGATAATGCTGTGACTTGTCTACGGAGTGTGTTGGGTGCTAGGCCCTTATTAAGTCCTGATTGTAAGAAGTCTAAGACTTGAGGCACCGAAGCCCTGATGGGGTCAGCCCCGGCTCAGCGGCACCACCTACAGAAGGCTTGCCAGGTGGCCTCGTATATACGTATAGTGGATGGTCGTTGGGCAGCCTGGATAGTGTCGATAACTTGACTTGAATAGTGAAGGACGGTCAGAATAGCCCGCTCACGTGCCACATGGCTAACTGCAGGAGCTGGGGGTTAGGGTGGATGAGAGCCCCCTGGTTGAGCTGGATCTGGTCGTCCGGAATCCTCCACGGCCGTGAAACCAACAGGTGTACGAGGTCTGCATACCAGGGTCGTCTGGACCACACCGGGGCGACCAACAGCACCTCTGCCTGCTCCGTCAAGATCTTCTGGATGACCGACGGAAGAATCGGGAGAGGGGGAAAGGCGTAAAGGAGGCCGTCTGGCCAAGGACTGCGTAGAGCATCCACCCTCTCCGCTCCGGGAGCCTGGTACCTGGCGTAGAATCTCAGAAGTTGCGTGTTGTGTGGCTGTGCAAACAGATCCACCTCGGGACGGCCGAACCGGCGAGAGAGGTCAGGGTGGAGCTGCCACTCCGCTTGATCCACAGTGGCCCTGCTCAGCCAGTCTCCCTGTGTGTTGGCCACATCCGAGATGTGCTCCGCCTGGATTGACAAAAGCGTGGTCTCCGCCCAGCGATGTAACTTCTCCGCCTCCAGCATCAGGGCCTTGGAATGGGTGCCTCCTTGGCGGTTGACATGGGCCTTGGAGGCAACGTTGTCGGTCAAGACCAACACGTGGTTGTGTGATACAATGTCCCAAAACTCCAGAAGGGCTAGGCAGATGGCGCGGAGTTCCAGCCAATTTATGCTGTTTGACAGTTCCTGACTCGACCAGCGCCCTTGAGCTACCCAGTCCAGGGCATGGGCCCCCCATCCAAATAGACTGGCATCCGTCGTAATCTGGATGCGGTCAGGTTCTTTGAAGGGGCACCCTTGGAGGAGCTTGGAGGATGTCCACCAATGAAGGGATGTGAGGGGCTTGTGCGGGAGCCGAACCTTGGTCTGGGAATGGCTGGTGTGGGCCCTCTGGAAGGGAAGCAGGAACCACTGAAGTGGGCGTGCATGGAACCTGGCCCAGGGAACCACGNATTCAATATTTAGAATATCTTGTTTAAAATTAAGGAATAATAATTACAGTTGAAAAATTGACATATAACAATACTCATGTTTTATCTAATGAACAATTTGTGATTCGATATATAATTGTAAGTGGTGACTATGGAAAGGACCGCACAAAAACTTGTAACCAAACGACATGCTGTATGAAATGGAAGACGGTTGTACGTGTTTTATGTTTTTGTTTGTTTAATTTTTTTTTTTTAAAAAGAGTAGCAGAAGCAGCAAGTCCTCCTCCTGCTAAGCACAGCAGGACTTCAAGGCAGAGGATCTAGTGGGCTGAGGGACTGAAGGGCCAAAGCTGAAGAAATGGGATTGTTTCCCTACACAACACTTCCTCACCAAAGCTGGTGTGCTAGTACCCTCCCAAAAGGGTGTAGGTAGGAGATAAAACTATGAGGTGACAGGAACTGAGATCTGACCAGGCTCTTTTAAGGGGGTCAAAGTCCTTCAGAAATTTGGTGGAAATGATGAACCACAATTGCCAGGCCCAAAACAGTGTTCTCTCTGGTCTATGGGCCTTAATTCTTAAGACCAGGACTAGGAAGGCATAAAAGGAATTTCCCCCTCTCTCAGCTCAACTTACTGATCATAACTTAAAAATAACCCCACAGCAGATGAGGAAGGAAGGAAGGAAGGAACTTACTTGGTGACAACCCCAATCTTTACTCCAAATACTCCCGTTTGTTTTCGAGATGGCATCCTCTTTAGACTGAACTCTCTGCTTGTGAACTTCACGGAGAGCTTCACTTCGACCTTGAAAAGAGAGAAACTCTCAGTTCCATGTTCCAGGTTATGCTGTACTCCCCCAGGGCTGCAGAGGGCAGACAGCAGAAGGGAGCCTTGGGGAGAGGCCCCCATGCCCAGGCCACAGAGGGCCACTCTGGCATTCTTCACCCACTAAGTCCAAAAGAAAGAAACAGAAAAGCTACAAAAGGAGGAAGCATCTAAGAAAGAAAACATAACTCATCATCAATTGATAAGGCTTCTTTTAATTAAAATATGTAATAAGACAGCAAATATTTTTCTGGTGGTTGCAAAGTAATATTTCATAAAAGGTCAGTTTTTGCCCTATGCCCTGCATAAATAGCCTTTTCGATGATGGCTTTAGCTCTGACCGATCCATGCTTTGCTCATTTTACTTTAGCACGGTTTTCCAGGTATTGTTTCTTTGGGCATAAGCTGCTATCCAAATACGAGACCAATTCCTTTTACAGGAGTTATAATGGGTTTGTTTGATTGAGCGAAGATGACTCTCTATTATTCATCATTAATGTAAGTATAAGGAATTAGATGGCTGATTGCTTCTTTTCAGCAAAGATAAGACAAGAAGCATCATAACACGTGTGTGCAAACCTGATGGCATGACCAGGGAGAGCTGGAAACAAGGAATCTGTACTACAGAAGCTGCGGAGTCTGTAGACCGAATCTCAAAGGCACTTTGTCCCCAAAGGCAACTGGACATCCTTGGTTTTTTTGAAGAAGCTTCTTGGATGAGAAGTGAAATGTTATCAAAGAAAAAAACCCCAAAGGAAGTCCCGTTGTCTTTTGGAACAAAGCAGCTTTGGGGCAACCCTGACCTGGATGATTGAGAATCTCCACAACCTGCCGCCCTCCTCATGCTCTGCCTCCTTACCCCGTTCATGAAGATGACCGTGCGTTGCCAGTCTTTGTCTTGCAAGGTTTGGGGATCCAGCTGGAAAAGACATTGAGCCAGAAATAAACCACCACTCAAGGGGCCAAATCAGAGACTCTGTCATTATTTTACCTGACAAATCAAGATCCCCTGGAAAAGAATCCTACCCAGTTTTCTTGTAAGACAGAAAGTTCATAGACCTGCACAGCATAAAATAAATCAGAAAATGCTCCTGTTTATGCTTTGGGTTAGGCTAAGATGTTTCAGATACAGGTAGATTTATTGTGAGCCCCAAACCCTGGTCCATCTTCTTTTCTCCTGGTTTTGACACTGCAGCCACACCAGATTTCTGGCAGTGCTACCCAGCAGTCAGTCTCCCTTGCCTGAGACGGGATTGTCATGGCCTCTGATTGTCAGAGGCAATGACAGCTTTCGAGGGACCCCGAGCCAGGATGGGTTGGGAGGGGATCAGCCTTCCAGGCAGACCAGACAGGAAACCCAACCAGATCAGCTAAGTCTGCTTCCCTGGGAGGCTGCCTTAACAGACTCTTTCTCTCTGGACTACAAAGACACGAGGGATAGTCCCTTTAGGAGCCTCTTGCCCTCCTCCCCACTACCCAGCTGCAGGGGGTGCAGTCTCTCATCTGACCATTCCCCGGGCAGCATCTCTCCCCACCACAAGGTCTTCTCCACACGCCACTACCACTAGTGGGACCTCAGCAGCAGGCTTGGGTGAACCAGGCCTGCTTTTCCGAGAGCCCCGATGCCACAAGAGTTAAGTGACTGGGCACCTTTCTCTGCTGCAGATGCTTCCTGCTGAATTTTGCAGACCTCCGACTTGAAGCTCTGATGCACAAAATTGCCAGAGGTCTCCTGCCTCCCCCTTTGCATCCCATTCCAGACATTTGGCAGTGCCCAAAACAATGGGTGGATGCTATCTCCAAGGTCTCCTTTGAAGAGACAAGAAGCTCAGGCTGAATGAGAGGTAGCTGAAGAGGGGGCAGTTTTCCAGGCACAATCAGGTTCGGTGCAGAGAATTAAAAACTACTCTGATTATTCTCACAATGCATCAAATGCTAAATAAAGCAATGCAGAAATGCTGAATTTGCAAATCCTACTACAGCCAACAATCATTCAAAAGCCACCTGCCTGGAGAGGAGGAGTGGGAAAGAAGAAAGATGGGTAGAGAAGGATAGGAGAGAGGGTAAGATGAGAAGGATAAGGAGGAGTGGATTGTAGAGAGAGGAGCAGCAGAAAGGGAGGGGAAGTAGAGTAGAAAAGGATGATGGAGGGAAGATAGAAAGTTGGAGGATGGCAGAAGAAAGATGTATGGAGAGCAGAAGAGCTATAATGGGTTTCTATTTTGGGGGGGCATTGTTGACAAGAGGAACTGATGTAATTATTATTTAATACTATATGATATGGGCTATGCATAGTATTCATGTGAGTGTGTGTTATGAAAATGAAAATAAAAATTTAAACAAAAAAAAAAAGAAAT